CCCTTCTCCTCTGGGATCAGACCAAAGCCTGCCTCCACCTGAAATGATATCCTTCCTTAGCTCCTTCCTCTGTCTCATTCTGCTTCCCTCACCCCCTTTCTGCTCTTCTTCATTGTCTCAGCAAGATATGTGCACCTACATCCCCACCTAGGGCTCAGCTTCTAGGGTACCTGACCTGAGATATAGAGTAAGCGTCCTTTATTTCCTATGTCAAAGCCTGTCTGGTCTACCTTCAAACAGTCAAAAAGCCATGAGCCTCCAGACCTACTGCAGCTGTATACTAAGTACCAGTGGCGGTGTAAAGGTGGTGATGCTGAATATTTGGTAAAACCCAGTACTGTGACCATCCCACCCTTAGTGGATTCTCTGGAACATTTGCTTTGGACTTTAGGAAGGAGACCAAAAAATGAGAAAAGAGTGATCAATAGCATTATGTCTCTTTTGATCATTTATTTATTTATTTATTTATTTATTTATTTATTTATTGGCACTTTCTACCTGCCAGAGATCTATAACTAGTTCTTCACCCCAGCTGAATAAAACATGAATCCAGGCTCTCCAGTGTTGCCTGTCATTTTAGAGAAAGACACCGTTTAGGAGTTTACTTTAGTGACTTAGAGCCCGTGTCTCACCTCTGACTTAGTTTGTGACTTTCAATGAATTAATCGTCACTTTTAGCATGCCCATGTGTGGCCTGGAAATTTACTTCCACGACTCACAAAGAGCAAAGGCTCCCTGAGAGGGATCATCCTCATGGCAAGACCACCATCCGTAAGAGAGACATCATTTTTTTTTTCCTGAGGCATAACTTTAAATCTTCAAAAGGATACATAAGAAATTCTTCATGAAAGGGAATAAAATGTGGGGCAGGAAGGAAATATTCATTTCCCAAGTGTTTGCTCCCCCAGCCTCTTAGCCCTGAGGGATCTAGAGATAACTAGTCTATTACTTCCTTCCACAAAAGAAACAGGTATGGGCTTTACAGGCAAATTCTGAGGATCTGGGTCCAAATCCAAGGGCATCATTCAAGGGAGAGAGGAGCAGGTGGGCCTGATGAGCTTAGGCAGACACATTCCAGAATCCAGCTGTTGGTGGATGGAAAAGCCCAAGTAGAAAACTGGAGACCAAAGAAGCAAGGCCTAGGGAACTTACACGGGCAAGGCTTCTGCTGCCTGCCATGGAGCTCATCAGAGCCATGGATTTTCTGAGCCAGCAGATTCCTGTAGACATCCTTGAAACTAACCTCAGAATGTGGGCAGCCCTGACCCTGAGTGGGGAGCAAAATAACAGGATTAATTGTGTGACCTTGGTCAACTTAGTTGGCCTCCATTTCCTTATCTGTAATAATTCCTCCTTTACTCATTCTTTGGGGCTGGTGTCAGATTCCATTTGAGGCAGTACTTTTGTAAACTATAAATGTAAGACAATGGTATCTCTAGACAGACGAGGAGAAAGAGAGAGAAGAAAGCTCTTCATAATGGGAACATAGGAGCTCCAAGAGCTGTAGGCGCATTCTGCCTGAACTCTGAGCCAATGTGAGATGATGCTTGCAATGCCAGTGGGGCCTTCCCTGGCATTGAAGGGAGCTGGAAAGAATCGCAACCCAGGGAGCAGTGTTTCTGGTAAGAATGAATCTGCCTGCCCCAGTTGACCATTCCCTTCTTGGGCCACTTCAGTAGCCTAGGCACCACTTTATTACACCCACCTATTTTACGATCTACAAATCCTTATAGGCAGAGATGATCATATATCATCAGGTTTTTAATGACAACAACGAAGGGGGCTCCAAAACCTGCCAATTCAAAATTTAAAAACCTAATGATCCTTCAAAAATCTAACAAGAGTTTATGATTGTTCTAGGTACTTACAGAAAGCAAAGCTAGAAAAAAACAAAAACCCATAAATTATCAGAAAGCAGATTCAGGGCTCAAAGTTAAGAAAATGTTTCTAACATGCAGACCTTTTCAATAATGAAATGTATTACCTCTGGAGGTGGGGAACTCCCCATCACTAGAGCTAGGCAAGCAAAGACTAAAGGGCCCTTTGCTAAGGAGCTGCAGAAGAGATTTCTTAGGTAACCTCTAAGGTCCTGTTCAAGCCAAGATCCCACCGAATTAAATATATAGTAGAACAATTATGGATACATTTGACAAATCATAAAGCAGCAGAAGTAACTGCTACCCTTAAGACTTGAAAGAAGAAAATTTACAACAAATAAAAGTATGACATTACATGTAGTTAATAAGCTTAGAGACCTATTACTCCTAGCTAAAATTACAAGGCCCAAGAAGGGCTTGGCTGAATCTATAAAAATTTGACCCATGGCAGGTTACCAAAAGCAGTGAGAGATGCATTTGAATGGTCCTTCCTACAAAGTCAGGTCCATCCCCAGAACCAGGCACTGGCAGAGGCAGCAAAGGAACTGGATGAACTTCAAGTTCTGTCAGGTGCTTGCCATGGAGAAACATCCCACACAGCACCTTCCCACAGAAAAGGCCTGGCCTTTGATACCCTGAGCGATTTCTCCCAGGTGAGGAAATGGAGGTCACAGGGTAGTCCTGACCCCACTGACCAAACACTGTCCCTCCCGCAGCGTGAGGGATAAGAGCAGAGAGAGAGTTTTCTGGCCACAGAGCATCACTCACAGCCTCCCCAGAGCCTGATTATTCTGGAACAGCAGTTCTGGTAACATGTGCAGCTGGTTCTGGTTCAGTCGTAGCCGCTCCAACTCCTTTATGTCATCAAAAGCCACCCCATCAACCCCCACCCTGGTTCCACCACTCTAATCTGGTTCTCCATCAGCTGCAAGCACCCCAGCTGCTTTAGCCCTGCAAAGCCCTTCTTATGGGTACAATGATGCTGTTGCCCTTGAGTTCCCTTTTACAGCTAGAGGCTGCCCACATTCTTTGGCTCATGGCCCTCCTTCCATCTTCAAAGCCAGCAATGGCCAGAAGAGTCTTACTAACACTGCCATCTCTCTGGTACTAATGTTGTATTGTCTTTCAATTGACACACCATGGAACAATCTAATGAGGCTATTGCCAAAACAGCATTAAGATTTCATGAGTTAAATGCATAGGTCGAGCTGGAAAGATTTGTTCTAGCTTCGTAGGTTTCATTGCTGTTTGCTGATCTTGAGTGGTTTGGAGGGATACATCAGGCATTACGATGTATGGTCAGTGACTCACACCCAAATCATTGTTTTCAGGCAGGAGAACCAAACATTTTGGCAATTAGCCTTGTAAAATTCTTATTTATAGGGAGGCAAGGCAGCCTTTGGGATTAGACTCATCCAAAGAGAATTTTAAAGGCTTCCCTTGACTGCACATCCAAAAATTCCTGTTTACCGCAGTGACATAGAAACTGCATTCTAGGGAAAACATCAGTCTTCTTCCAGACTTTCTGGAAACCATTACTTCATAAGGAAGTGGTCTGGGAGCTGAGCAAAAGCTGTCCACCAAAGCTATAAGTTGAGTCTAATCAAAACTCATCCACCATCAGAAGATTCCATTTGTAATTTTGTTCTGAGGTGGAATCAGTAAGAAAAGGTGAAAGGCTGTTCTTGGTGCAAGGATTGATTGGCCATTAAAATCTCTAAAGAAATAAAACCAGATTTGGTAAAGTGATGAGGACAGAAAAACTGAATGAATGCATGATTCAAGCCAGGAAAGGATTGGAAATGAGATGGAGAAATCAAAAATCATGGTGGAAGGGAAGGAGAAGCTAATGGAAGGACTTTGGGAGTAAAGTTAACTCCCATGCAATGTTGGGGGAAACTTTGTAAAAACTTCCTCATTTTATATATATAAAATTGATTTCAGGGAGGAAGGGAGAGGGAGAGAGAGAAGTAGAAGCATCAATGATGAGAGAGAATCATTGATCGGCTGCCTCCTGCAATCCCCCTACAGGGGATTGAGCCTGCAACCCGGGCATGTATCCTGATTGAGAATCAAACTGTGACCTCCTGGTTCAAAGGTTGACACTCAGCCACTGAGCCACACTGGCCGGGCAAAGCTTCCTCATTTTTGACATGAAGACAAAAAGCATCATCAGTGACCAAGAAGGTAACAGGTATGAGAAAGACCCAGCACAAAAGCACAGTAGCGGAGTGAGAGAGAGTGCCTCTGCACCAGCTCTAACCCAACAAGGGCCGTGCTTCTCAGTGAGGAGGTCCTTGCAGCTACAGCCTCAGGCTCACATGGAGCTTGAGAGATGCCCAGAACCCCGGGCCCTGCCCTGGACCCACTGAATCAGAACCTTCATTTTAGCAGGATCCCTGGGGCCTTGGATGCATAATAAATTGAGCCCCAGTTGTTGCTGTTTTTTAGAGCCCTTGCAACCTCATCTTCTCCTTTTATTCATTCTCATTTCCCTTTTACTTCCCTTCACTTTTCATCATCTTCTTCCTCAAGCTCAAAAAAATGTCATGTGTGAAAATTAATATCTACTTATATCTACTTGGTCCTCATTCAAATACTCAAACATCCCTACTTGGTCTTAATTCAAAGCTCAAACCAACCTCAACTTATAAATATGTCAACAATACTTTGGCTCCAGGAAATCAGCAGGCAAGAGCCCTACCCCACAAGATCTATATTTGTATTATTTATTTATACAAAGTCCTAAGTGTAGTGCTTTATAGGGGAACATGGCCAAGAAAAGAATACAATCGCTGCCCTTTACAAAATATTGTTCTTTATTGCTCACAGCCCTAGGGAATAGCCAGAGTGGGAATGGAATTATGAAATCTTTGGGCCAAAATGTATGAAATGAATAGAAGGAAAACATAGGTATTTGTTAAGGACCCCAGACCTCTTTAAGAAAACAAGCAAGACTTTCCCAAACAATATGCATGAGCAGATTATTGCTGTACATGGAAATGACCCCTCTGTTATCACTCACACACACATACTCCACAAAAAGGGAATTTAAAGACATTTTGATCAAAGATATTCATTCAAAAAATACATTTCTAAAAGGAAATTTCCTTTTTTTTCCTGGTGGACACCAGGACCAACAATCACCAGCTGCCCAGATACCAAAAAATTATGCTTCCAAAATCTCTTGATGTCGATTCCACATAGAGCAATCAAGCTGCTCTGTGCATGCTACTCATGGCAGGAGTCCTAAAAGGAAATTTCAAAAGGAAAAATATTTATTGATACAAAAAAACAGTTAAATAAAATATGGGACCACCATATGATAAACTATTATTGTAGCCACTCAAATCAGGATTTCAACAATATTTGGTGCAAAACATTAATAATAAATGGCAAAGCAGGATCAAAAACTTTATATTCATCATCATCCCACTTTTCATAAATATAAAAGAGTACACTCATAGACCAAAATGTTAATAGTCAGTATTTCTGAAATTGATATTATAATAAGAGATTTAAATTTTATTCTCTGTACGTTCCTATATTTTTCCAATTATTATGGACACATGCAAGTAGCATTTGTATTTTGCTAAATGGTCACATTTGTCTTGGTTAAAGTTCTTTCTTGGCCGCACTCTCTGTTGCCTTACCAAGTCCACCTAATTATTTCTCCCAGTCCGGAAAGGTGGCTCAAAAGCATGGGGCATCTCTGCATTTGGAAAATCATGCTGGCTCTGGTCACTGAGGATTGGAAAGCGGTCAGAAGGAGGAAACATCACCACTTCCCAAATCCTCCTATATGAGCCCTACAATGTGAGACTTCCAGACTTTGCTCAGAGTGAATTCACAAACACCCGTTACTGATTGATATGGATACACGTTCTAAAGTCCGAAAACATGGCTTTTGCTCTATGCAGAAGCTTGAGAGTGAAAAGAAATTTAAAGATCATCTAGTTCACTAGGTTCTCCATCTTGGTGCACATTGCAGTCACACCTGGAGAGCATAAAAAAAAAAAATAGTAATGCCAGAGTCCTGCTCTCAGAAGTTCTGTTTTTATTGGCCCAGGGTGTGGCCTAGGCATCTGGGTTTTCTTAAAGCTCCCCAGTGACTTAATATGGAGCACCATAATCACTATCCCTCTAATCCCAGGTCCACCGCAACCCCGCTGATGTGCATCCCCTCCAGTCTAGAGCAGTGTGTCCAGCATTAGCCAACTCCGGCACTGGCTTCCAGAGTCTGATCAGGTATTTGGCTATTGGCAAAAGAGTCACCTGAACCATAAGTAATTGCAAGGTGGGCAGCCATGTTCCATTGCTGTGGAAGGACTAATTTTGGTGGACAAGTATCAGTCCTGACCACCTGGATATTATCTCCTTTCCACAGCCAAACAAACAGGCCCAAGTTATTTGCCCAAGAACTCGCAAGTGGTTGGGTTGAGATCCTTATGCTAACACCTCAGTCTTTAAATTTCACTACATGATAAAACAGCTAATGCATTTAAAATTTTTTTTTAATTTTTGGAATAATTTTAGATTTATAGAAAATTTGCAGAGATAGTTCAAAGAGCTCCTATATAACCTCCACCCAGCTGTCCCTAATGTTAACATTTTGCTTAACCATGGTACATTTATCAAAACTAAGACATCCACACTGGTACATTATTATTAACTAAACTACAGACTTTATTTGGATTTTACCAGTCTTTCCACTAATATCCTTTGTCTGTTAATTCATTATCAATATATTTAATATAGCAACACAGGAAATGTCACAGGACATTTGCATATCAAGCATCCTTCTTGGTGAGGGAGGCCGAGACATGCATCTCAGAAAAGGTGAAACCCTCTATACGAGCCTGGAGGGATGTGTAATTATTTCATGACAGACAAAGTTAGGTACACATCCCAGGTCTCAGTAAAATCCGATATGGCTCCGTGTGTGCTAACTACCCAAGGAATGTGTAGTTCACCCTGGACAGAGGCTGCGAAGCTCTAATTACAGGCTCTGGGACCAGAGAGGACCTCAAGGGTGAGCATTTCCGTGCATGAGAGGAGAGGCGTTCGCATGGCCCGAAATCGCACTCCTTGCCCTGCACGCCGGGAACAAGGCAAAGCCTCAGGACCCAGGCTGGTTTCTGAAGCTACTTCTCAAGTCAAAGGAACAAAAAGAACAAATTAAATATTTAGACTTGCTGCTCCTCCCGATTCTCTATTCTTCGCCTCTCCGGGGGCCACCCTCACCCAGAGGCTCCGGCTGGTGAAGCAGAGGAAGCACTGAGCAAGGTGAACGCTCCTCAGCCGCCTTGCATCCTCGGATGTCCCAGCTCTGGCCCTCTCCAGTTTGGAGATCACTGGTCTTTGAGCTGGACTTGGTGCCTCGAGCAGGCTAAGACAGGCAGAGTAGCATTCCAACTCCATTTAACTTGGAACAAATTCTAGGTTGAGCTCTTTGGCTAGGATAGAATTTTTCCTCTTCCTCTCCCCTCCCTCTTCCTGCCTCTGAGCCAGGTCTAGAGTGACGCAAGTGAGGGGCAAAGATCACAAAACTTAAGGAGGCCTGTGAATGACCTTGAGAATGAGCACCTTCTTCAATTTTGCACCCTGGGACCTCAGCTGGCCTCATCCTGGTCCCAGCCCGGTTACTTCCTCCCCATCCGCCCCTTCACTCCCCCCACCCATCATCACAATGATTTCGCTTACAGAATCAAAAGGGATTAACAAAATCCCCAAATTTCTAGCTTTGCCCGAGTTGCAACTAATCCTCTTTCAAATGTCCCAATTTTCACTTTGAAGCAGGACTAAATATGAACAGTCCTCCCGGCATCCCCCTGGTGAGAGCTCAAGGTCAGCGGATTGCTGCTGTGGGGACAGCAAATGGAACACCGGACACTGCCCCTTGCTGGGTGATCCTGGGCCCGAGCTCACCCACCACATCTGTAAGTTAGGAGAGTGGGGGTGTAGAGACTTTAGAGGTTTCTGACTGAGAAATGGGAAGCAGAGGGGGAGGAAGTGGGGCAGCAGGCAAGTGGTGCAGCAGAGCTACCTGGCAGAAAGGAGCAGGCCTGGACTGATCACCGTTTATTGCTCTGGCTTGTCAGGCATGCAAGACATCCAAGCAGACCTAACAGCTCAGAACTGCTCCCAAACACCTCAGTCCTAGTTTTCTCATCTATAATAATCTATAATAATAAAAGCATAATATGCTAATTAGACTGGATGACCTTCCAGACGACCTTCCAGACGAAGTCAGGGCCTCTAGCAGAATAAATTTCATGCATCGGGCCTCTAGTATTAAAAATAAAGGATTTTGAATTCCTGAATTTTTTTTAACCCTGATGACACATGAGCCTCATGAGGGGGCTTTAAAAGCACCAGTGCCTGAACTACCCTCCACGCCCCCTTGAAGGTGCTATTTCATTAGTGAGACCCAGCCATCAGCACTGTTTAAAACTCCTCAGGTGAAATAAAAAATTTTTAAATAAAAGTAGATAAATAAAACTCCTCAGGCAATTCTAATTGTTGCCACACTCATAACCCTCTTGATAGGTGAGAGCTGACATTCCATAATCCTGAGAAATAATAGGTAACTGGTTTTTGACTTGGCTTCCCTGGACAGAACCCAATTCAAGCGCTCCCATTAAAATGACCACAGATTTTTAAAAAGGATTAAGAGTTCCTGGGCCGGTGTGGCCCAGTGGTTGAATGTCGACCCATGAACCAGTAGGTGGAGGTTTGATGCCTGGTCAAGACACATGCCCGGTTGCAGGCTCGAGCCCCAGTAGGGAGTGTGCAGGAGGCAGCCGATCAATGAATTTCTCATCATTGATGTTTCTATCACTCTCCCTTTCTCTGAAATCAATAAAAACTTTTTTTTAAAGGCTAAGGGTTTTCAATTAAGTCTCTGGCCTCTTGGCAGAGGAAGTTAGGGAAAAGACAGCCATGATGACAGGTTAACGCATACATTTTCAAGTAGAAATTGCTCCAGAGGCTCACAGCCACAGTAGCAGTTGAAAAGTCAAAATTAAGTTGCTTCACAGGCTCAAAAGCCAATGGGTCCAGCCCCAGGGCATAGCCATGTTGCCCTTATGCTATGCAATTACCCAGCTGTCCCTCAAAGCTGTGCAAGGCCTTGGGTAATCAGCCAGCAGCCTCAGCTTGACCTCCTGGGAGGACACAAATGCCAATTAAACTAGAGGTCACCTGAGTCTGACAAGGATGATGGCCAGCCTGGGCTGCAAGGAGCATTGAGTGAGCAGGAGACGTCTGTGCAGTAGCTGTTAGGGCCATATCAACTGGTTACCCTCTGGTACATGACAGAAAGGTCCACAGAAGATTGGGCAACAACTGATTTCAGGACCAAAGTCCCCGGACAGTGATATGTCTAGTCCCTCACAGTAGATAGTCCAATATAGCAATCTCTTATCCAGAGCATATTTTTTTTATTCCTTTCCTACTTTTTATTACTCTCCTCTGGACTTCCCATGTGACTGTGTATGCTGAGCGCAGTGAGCACCAACTGATGCTTTTGAAGAGGCCTCTGACCACCCACTGTTTCTCCATAGTTGACAGAGGAGTTGCCCATGGTCTCTATTGCATTCTCCATTGCTTACTACCATAAAACAAAGGATATCTTTTGATTTCCAAAGGCAGTGCAAACACCTTGCCTTCCTTCCCTCTGATTCAACTTATAAAATACCTATCTCTGCAGTCAAGGGTAGAACAAAAGAAGCTAAGTTTTGAACTTCAGGGGTCTGCTTCCCACATGGGAAGTGAGAGCACACTGAGTGAGTTCCTCACCCACCTCCCACTAGCTCACTTTGACTTTCCTTTGATGATCAAACCCATTTCTCTGGACCCCCAGAGTGATTCCCATCACTGTTCAGGTCAACATACTGGCCCTCTTCCCACAAGAAAGGAGCGCAGAGCCCATGAGCTTGTTGATTCAACAATCATTTTCATACTTAATTTGCTCAGATCAGGGGGATTAAAATCCCAACCGAACAAAACTCTTTGATTATGAGAAGACGAAGATATGCAGACACCAGCCCTGATAAAGCCAATGTCAGAAAGAAGCACTATTTGTTCAACTGGCTTGATTAGTGAGTGCCAGACAGCTATTAGAACAAAAACCATGTTTTGGGGCAACTGTATCTATTTATGTCATGATGGGCCTCCATAAGAGCCCAGATAATGTTTGTTATCTTCACCAACACTAGCCAAATGTTTGGATAAATAAAGATGTTTTATGAAAT